CCCATGGCAGAAAAGAAAAGAATTAAAAATGACCAAAACCAATACATCCAGCCTTAAGTTGGCTAAGTCATTTAAGATGATGTGTCAACTGATGTGATAAAGTTTTGTTTTCGTGTTCTATGTTCTATGTCTCAAAATGCATCTGTCACTGCATGTTCCTTTTCACATACTGCAGTACTTCTTTAAACTACCCTGTTCTCCATCCCCATGCCTGTCAAAACACAAAAGAACAAAATGAAGATCATGCATCCCAGATAATGCTAATCACGGATGCTCTTTTCCCTGTTTTGCTCCCAATCAGTGGGCTTTTATGAGCATTTGTAAAGTCTCACCAAATATCAGATCTTTGAGACAAGAAAGCCTATGCTGATTGCTTCACTCCCCAATGTTGAACAGCCCCCGTTCCAGGCATATAACAGCTATGAATCTGCTTGTTAGAAATCAGTGCAGGCCTGTGTCTATGTGGCTGGTGAAGAAAAGGCAAAAGAACGATTCTTATAACCTAACTGGGCAGCAAACTTTTGGAACTGCAGACTTTAAAGATGTTCTTTGACATGAGGTCCAGAGTTACTGGCAACCAGTAAGTGAAATGTAAAGTAGAAACTTGTGCTGCTGTTTGAACCTTCCACATTCTTCTACAGTAGGACATATGACAATTCCGCTACAGTGGAAAACTGCATATTCAGATAATTATTTCCTGGATATAATATTCAGCAATGCTGACAGTCCTTGTTACCAAATGTATATATTAATTTAGAGGCTCTGTCTTTCTGTCCAAGGCTTGTCTTCCTGGCAGCAGGAAAGGGCCTTCTTGTGTATTGTTCCCAAATTCTTCTTCCCTTGAGGCTTAGGAAATCTGTAAAGATGCAGCCCTTTCTGCTGGCATTTAAGTGTTAGGCAATTTTAATATATAATATATTGTTAATGTTAATCTTATTTTTAAGTCTTTGTATTCTGTTCCTTAAATTTTTGATAGCCACTTTAGCGCTTCCCAGAGCAGAAAGGTGGGGCATTAAAAAAAATCAATAAATAAAATAACCAAATATGCAATACTTCAGTCCTCAATCTCTTTGTGTACATAATGCACATAGGCAAAACTATTGAGAAGTTTTCTATCCCAACTCTCTAAAAAAGCCAAAACCTAATGGTGTAAGTGAGCTCTGTACGAATCATTGCTCTTTAAGAAATGCATACATTTCAATAGCTAGCTTTACAACATTCTTCTTAATCCACTGAGCGGAGGAACCTTAATTCCACAAAAGTACCACCTGAGACCTGCCATCAAGGTAGGAAGGGAATCATCAGAAAGCCATGCCTATAATCTCCAACTTCCTCAGGTGGTCCAGGAAGAAACTGTGATCAATGGTATCCAAAGCCACAGAGAGAACCAGGAACACAAGCAGAGACCCTGCTTTTCCTGTTGGACTCCTTCAACAGACTGCCCACTAAATCATCTCTATGCTACACCTTGGCCTAAAACAGCATAAAACAAATCTAGACAATCAGTATCATTCATGAGCTCCCTGAAGGAAACATACTTGAAGTTTATGAGCCTCCTGGTATTTATTATCATCAAATACAATTCCTAAACAGAGTAACATCTTAGTCCAAACTATGTCTAAAACAATGCTGTCATTCAGAAGTTATGTTATTAATGGCTTAGAGCCTGATTATCTTATCTTCTCCTGTTCTAACAAATTTGATTAAGATCTACAGAAGAGGCCCATCTTTCTGGGGCACTGAAGGGTTCCCCCCCACGGGCTTCCAGGCTATGGAATGCCCCCCTAGGGAGAAGCATTTGGCTCTAACTTCTTCATCTTCTAGAAAATCTGCAAAGATGCATCATTTTTCCCAGGATGTAATTGATACTATAAACTTTAATTTTTCAACTTTTAAAATCCTATTAAAAAAACTCTCACCCAGCTTAATTGCTTGCTAAAGTACAAATCTAATAAATAAATGAACAAGTAACAAGACAAATTAGTCTGAAGGGCAGCTTTTATATCTTTATTAGCTGAAGAAATTTATTAGACAGATAAAAACATCGATTTTTGGGGGGTGGGTAGGTGTCACTCTTTATTAAACCTATACTTATACTGTGCTCATCCTAAAGACAAGCTGTATTTCTGTATATTTTTCCTTAATGGGGTTAATAAAGGTTTAGGAATAAGTGTTTTAGATTGAGAAAAATAGCACAGGCACAAAATCCTTTCTTCCTTCCCTAATGCCACTGAGCAAATTTGGGCTCCATTGTCTGCCTTGAAATAAAAATGAAGATATCCAAACATCCAACCACAGATTTCCCAGTATATTATGAATGCCTTAAAGACTGCAATACAAATTTATTAACAATTCAGACCTGGTACAGTATGCAAATGCCCTTTCCCCTGTAAATGAAATGCTTCCATAACTTAAATGAGCATCTTAAACAGGGATCTCCATCCCAAACTTTAAAAATATAAGTGTGTTCAAACACACTTATTTATATCCTTTGTTTTTTTCTTTGTCTTTTCTTCCCATTGCCAAGTTTTGAGCCTAAGCTCCAGAGGGAGGCACATAGCTGCCCAAACTGTTTTGTTTTTTTTTTAATTACTATGTTGTAAGCACCAGGTACATTACTGATTGTGTACAAAGAGTTCACAGGCAGGCAAGTCTGTAGCCTTCTGAGAACCTATATTCCATATTCCTTCCCAATCTTGAAAGAAACAGGGAAGGGCCCCATCATGTAGGCCTCTTTGCTTCTTCTGGTGGAACTGGTATCGGGTTGTCCTTATTTATCCTGGTGAAGCAAGACAGGAAACATCTATCAGCCTTTGAGAGGCTCTCACTATGTGAACTGCTGGGCAAAGAAAATATCTTTGGACTTATGCTCTTAAATTCACCAGGGTAGAGGCAAAAGTGGGAGCAGAAGAGAGGAAACAGCAAGAGAGAGAGAGTCAGAGACTGAGGAGAACCAGGGGCTGAAAAATGGGGATACTAACCTGTCCTGGAGAGTAGGGAGGGAGAATAAAAAGAGGGACCTATGAAGAAACTTGTAGTGCTGAATTATGGGCAGTGAGGAAAACAAAGACCACAGAAGATCAATGGAGTGAGAAAATGGAAAGAACACTGGTGTGATATGGCACAGAGGGCAGAAAAGAGGGAGAGGTTCCCAAAAACGAAACTTGGAGACCTCACCTGTGAGAAAGCAATAAGCAGTTTAAAGGTATACACTTGCTCCCTCTGTGTGCATTTCCATGTTCAGTTTTCTGAACCTCTCTCCCTATCCCAGGGGGAAAAAAAAAAAAGGAATGTAGGACATAAATACCATCTGGGAATGTTCCAAAGTGAGAGAGTGCAAGGTGGGGGTGAGGGGTGGGAGCAGATGTATCAGCAGGTGACCCCAGCACAGGAGTTGCTGAGAAAGAACAAATAAAGTGTGATGCAGAGTTATCAGAGATGAGAAGCTGGATGCATCAACAGGGGTCACAGATCAGTTAATAAAGACAAATAAGCATGTTGGTAAGAACTTGTGCCTGTGTATAAAGGCACCCACAGTGAAATCTAGCTTCTCAGACGAAATTGTTCAGCAGAGCTTACTCTCAGATCAGCAGTCTTAATTTTTGGACAGTTGTATCTTAGATCTTATAAATTTAGACCATTCTGCCTTTGTCCTATCTCTGAGCTGGGATGCTCAGAAGAAGGACACATGGAATGAAATGGGATTTTGCTCTATGTAAAGATAGCAGCCATTTGATTTCAGAGAAGACCCACTACACCACTTTAATGTCACAGAAAAATTAAGCCCTCTCTCTCTCTTGCTTCTATCCTCAGACTTACTGGGTTAGTCTCAAAAATGCCTTCAATGAAGATAATAAATCCTTTCCAATTAAAACCATTTTAATGATCTAAAACTGCAGCTTCATGTTGTAAACAAGAGAGATGGATTCAAGGGACAATTCAGACTCCAAACACATTTTCAAACAAATGTCCTTATTTAGTTGGGCATCAGACAATTAACAACCATGTTAGGGGAGAGTGGGAGCAAACTGATTGTCAAGGCTTTGTACCAGATACAGCAGTAAGACTCTCTCCCCACTCCACATTCTCAAAGAGGTTAGATAAGGGGATTTATGTATTATTCAATTTGCATGGCCTCCCATCTCAAATTCATGACTATGGGTGGCTAACAACAGTTAAAAACACCATAAAAACATGTAACAGAAAAAAAAAATTCCAGAGAATTAGGAAGTAGTATACATGAAACTCTATCTATTGAAACCCAGGAATCTTGCCCTTTATTCTATGCTAGTCCCAGGATTCAAATCCTGAGTCTGTTTCTCGTGCCTCTTTAAGTCAATGGCTGCATGGCTACTAATTTCCTGACCTTGAAGGTTTGTGCCTTTGTCCACCTGGACCTCTGTTTACCAAATGCCTTTTTCTGGAGAGAGATTCTTGCTTGACCAGTTTTAAACCATACATTAATGGCTCTATCCTACCGGTGTTTTTCTGGCAATATAATTTCATGTATGGAGAAAGGCTGTTGTACCTGCAGAGGCCCACTCTCATCCCACATCCCTACAGAACTTCTTCCCCACAGCCACCCTCAGCCACAGGAGCTCAGTGGGTGACTTTGGGCCAGTCACCTTCTATCTGCCCAGCTTACCTCACAGGGTTGTAGTTGTGGAGAAATACAGGAGGGAATGGCATTTTGTATACTACCATGAGCTCCTGAGCAAAAGCGTTGTATACATCCCATAAATGAAAACAAAAACTAAACATAACAGACAAAGTAACTTTACTTCAAACTGTTGCTTTTGCTCTAACAACTGGAGGAAGAAACTTGTTAGGAAATGGTTGATTTTACTGAGCATTATTGCTTCTGCATTATATTTGTTCTCTGCTACATATATTACAAGTTGCTTGGTGACAGCTCTCACTTTCCAAAACAGAATATGAACCCTTGCTAAAATAAATTAAGGTATAAATGCTGAAATAATTAAAATTCAATAAAAGATTACCATAGTGATTTCTCCACTATTTTGGTCCTGAAAACTTCTTCCTGGTCCAAGTTTACTGTACAGTAACAATCCCGCATTTTGTTTGGCCCTGGATACGTAGGAAGATTCTTAGCTTCCCCTAAAGACAAAAAAGAAGACATTGAGTGTTGATACAGCTGAGAGATATTCATCCCATAAGCAGATGTTTTAACTGAATATATTCTAACATGTACAATATACTTTGCTCAGGTTGGAGTACACATTTAAAATGCCAAGTGCTGTACTATACAACAACTAAGGTATCATTCTGCTTGCCGTAGCACAAAAGACAACTTCCTAAACACGTTTGAGACACGTCTCCTCATGACGTTGCCTCCACCTCATCCCCAGCCCAGAGCCTAGAGCCACCCTTAATTGTTCCAGTTTAGAAGTCATGATTTCCTACTTCTCCCAATACAAAAATTCCCATACAGACAATCTGGGGTTCCTCAGGGTGGGACCATGTGAGATGTGTTAGGGACAGCTATCAGCTCAGCTCCAACTAGCCCAGCAAGTCATGTGGAAATGCCCTCTCCCCACCCACTGCTGGGCCCTGTGTCTCCATAGCCATTTTGAGCTTGGCTGCAAATGAGACTGGACATGTGGTCCTTCCCCCTTAAACTGGATTTCCAAACTCCCAGAACTGTCAGCCAGGAATCCTGCTATTTGGTGTGGGTATAATTTGTGTGTGGGTGTACAGAGTTTGTACTGGAGAGATGTTAAAATAAGAAAAGCATGTGAGTCACACATACACACAAAAATGGGAGGGGGATGGGAAAGAGAGAAGAGGGCAAATTAGTTTTAGGAAGAAGGAAAGAAAAGAAGAACCCAGAAGCACCCAGATGTCCTGGTTTAGGCTTTTGGGCTTTGTATTTCAAATCAGCTCTTCCAATCACTTTGGCCAACTTTGGGGAGGGGGGTTGGTTCACTTTCTATTTCTCTGATGGGACTATTATATGATAGTTCTATGAAATGATTTTACAGATGCTGCCTTCTAGAGAAGTTTCAACCTGAAATAATCTAGACATGTCTAGGTAGCATCATCTATGGAATCACTGGAGTCCTAAGAATAAGTGGAATACAGATCAAAAAGACATTTGTTGAGAGGGACGTCATCTTAGGCAAGATGGCACCATTCTTTGCCTAATGCTATGCTTGATGCTAGTTTGAAAGTGCAATAAGGAATGAAGGTGACAGATTATGGAATGATCTACCATTTCTATTTGTATAGTTTAGGAAAAACTACATCTGTAAAAAATGCCAAAAACCTGGCATTTGGACCTAGTATTTTAAGAATAATTGTGATACAGGTTTCAGGTTTCTCAGAACTGAGCAAAGCCATTTGGTGGACTCAAATGTTTTTCCAATGTCCCATATTTAACCCCCAGAAAACTAAGGCTTATTTTAAACCTAGACTCACTTCATTCCAAGAAAACAAAGATTCTGATGAATATTATAAATATAATAACATATCCAATATCCAAATCACCCTTGTCAATTGTTCTAATAATCATAAAACTATGACGGATCTAAATGAATTTACCTTTTGGCAGAAGTTACACAAAGGCATATGTAGCGGATACAACTTTCAATTTAATCAGCTTTCTCACACAACAAGAGGCTGGCAGGCAAAGCCCACTTTATGAATAGGTCAATTGAAAATCGAGGGTTTCAGCTGTTAAATCACTATGCAGGTGGCTCCGTATGACTGGGTTTAAAAACTTAGCAGGGTTAACCTTTTAACAGTGAGAAACATGTGGCTGTACCTGCACACATCACTACATGTACATTTAGGATTTTTGCTCTGTTTGGTATCTGGAAACAAAGCAAGAGAGATAATCCAAGGGAAGTGAAAGTTTAATCATCACTTCCTTAAAAATGAAGCCCAGTTTTAATGTCCCAACTGATTATATTTTTCTGCACAGACTTATCTGTTGGTTCCCCCTAACCGAAAACAGCTGGGATCGAACATTATACTGAAAGGGATAAAGTGTCCTTATGCAACATGCATTCAAGTACTTTAATTTGTAAGGCTTTTTTTATCACAGCCATTTTTGGATTTTAGCCTTTCTAGTCTTTGGGGATGATATCATATAAGACTCAGACTATCCACAGCAGCAGAATTCCAAAGTACACTACTTCAAAAGACACTATTTTATACCCTCCTTTGTATCTGATCACCTCAGCCATGATACTTTGCAATCGTGGATACAAATGCTGTACCCTCTGACCCTTTCTGATTTACACAAAAACTGCCAGCAGCAGCTACCTGCCAAAAATCCATGACGATCTTCCTTCTTTCCTCCCATCCCCGCTATTCTGACAATGGGGGTATGGTTTTTAAAAAGTCTGGGAAACATGAACAATACATGCCTCAGAAATGCACAAAAATATTCCTTCTAATAGTCTCATCTAAGTAAATGTCTCTGTTGGAACACAAGCCATGCTGGTCATTCAAGCAATCTTTCCTCCACGCTTTTTGTTTTAATCTGTCATCATCATTACCTAAAAAACCAACATAAGACTTAAAAGCCTACACTGTTCTTCTACGTGCATTACTACGTTGGACTAAGAAATAAAATTCCAATTTATTCCTCCCCTTATATGACATTTTAGCATTTGCACTCTCTTGATCTCAACTGTTAAAAGCACAGAACTGTGATCTTATTTTCTATTTCAAATAGATGTTCTTGTTAGAAAGTGGAGCATCCTAATTAGACGCATAGCATTAAGGTCTGTAAAAGTCTTCCCAGTTCATTTTCTTCTCAGTTTATTTTCAGACACATGCATGCTACTTTTATATATACATAAAAAAAAACCATTCCATTATCATGCATGATTTTGATTTTGGCTTTAAGTATTTTTACAGATAATAATTTCTGTTATTTAAGTCTTTGTGTGCCAGAATGAGTAACAACATCATTGCGAATCCAACCCATTGACTTTGTCAGAAGCCCCCTGGGAAGGTCACAAATGGCGATCACGTGACCCTGGGACACTGCAACTATCATAAATACATTGCCAAGCACCCAAATGTTGATCACTTGACCGTGCAGATATTGAGATGGTCATAAGTGTGAGGACTGGTCGTAAGTCACTTTTTTCAGCACCATTGTAATTTCAAACAGTTGTTAAATGAATGGTCATAAGTTGAGGACTATCTGTACTCCTGGGGTGACTCTTAAGTCTCTTGATGTCAGGTTCAGCCCAAGAACCACAACGAGGCCGTCCAGTGCAGTACAGTTCCTTTATTGACTATTACCTATTAGACAGAATCTTGCCAGACTAAACTTATCTACAGCTACTAGAGAATATACTCGTGGAGGCTCTAGGGAGGAGCCAGC